TTTCCTCCGTTAACAAATTCTGAAAGTCGGACAACGAGCGCTCCACTTTCTCAGAGACAAACGGCAAAAACCTGAGGGCTCGTTTGGCATCCAGGTCATATAAGCGCCATTTGGTGTTTTAGGTTGACGTATACCCATTCTATGTCAGGGATTTTGTCAAGCGATTTAAGAAATTTATCTTTCGCAGAGCCGTCCAAACAAAGCGCGCCAACAGAAGCGCGCGCGGAAATGGCGGCGCGTCGCCGGAACCCATGACAGTTCAGGCGACGCGCGGAAATGGCGGCGCGTCGCCGGAAGCCATGACGGTTCAGGCGGGCCTATGAGCCTACACCCACGATTGCCTCTATTTCTTTTCCCAAACTACATCGTTAACAACAACGGCCATCGCAGACCAGTTAGGAGCTTGCGCGGCACTATCGGTCGGTGGCGTATAGTATTCGCGACTCCAGCGAAATCGACGCCGCGTAGCGGCAACGCCGAGAAGCTCAAGAGAGGAAGTCGTCTTGACTCTGTCGTCTGCTTTCGCTGCTTGGTTCTCGTAGGCAGCATAGAAACAAACGTCGTTTTCAGTAATTATATTTATGCTGCCGCCGTGTCATTCCTACGCACTGACTAGAAGGTTTTTACCGTCGAAAAATCGCTTTGCTTTCATACGTAACACCGATTTTACGCTGCAGTACAAGCAATTTATGGTGGTCCGCGTGCTGAACGACGAAAACGCCCTTCTTTCCCGCCGAGGCAGGAAAGGCAGCTGGCTTATATAAGGCAGCACATGAGGTTTGAACGCCGTCGGAGCCGTTGGCGAAATAATGCCATGCTGGCTCCTTGTGATTGCAAAAATATTATTAATGGGTGAAAGGCGCAATGTATAAGGGCGTTTCAGTTAAGTAATTGGACCCTTAATGAGAAATCGAGACAGTCGGGACAATATTCAATCTTTAGGGACACTCAACGTGAAATCGGGACAAGTCGGGACAACAAAGTTGAAGAACACTAAACGGGTATTGCTTGACAGATGTGTACTGGTAGCTGATACTGTTATCGGGACACTTTTAAAAATCGGAACATGTCCCGGAAATCCCAGCCCTAAATATGACGGAAATTGCGTATATTTACAGTTTGGTATATTAGCAGCATTAAACGAAATCAAACAGAAAGACCGACGTGCCGGTAGGAAATATTTAGTTGTGTTATAACCCAATCGCTTTTTGCCAACAGTCGGCTCGTGGCCCCTAAATTGCATTTTCGAGCTCATCGGCCACCAACTTCACCAACCGATAAGCTCGTTTTTGAATTCGCCCCGTAAACACCTGCCACAAATCGCGGCTTGTTGGGCTTCACCGCATTGCACCGGAGTGATCGGAGCAGCCATTGACATAGGGGTGGAGCGCCGGGGTTGGAGCGACTGGCTCAGAAATGATTCCCATTACCACGGCGCCCAATGCTACAAGTAAGGTACAGGTCAAGAAGGTAGCGGCAAATGCCCCTCAAAGGGATTTATATATCCCTCCGCCACCTCCGCATCCAATAGCGTCCCATCGTTCCTTGACGTCGCGGCCAACGCGCGAGGAGGGTCTTGCCTTTCTGTAGATATCTTTCGTCTTTGAGTTAGCATTGCGAAAGCCACGAGAGGGGGATTAGAGTTTTCCCCCTCCAATGGAAACAAATACGACTTTCTGGGATTAGGTTCCCCCTCCGATGGATAGTAAGGCTGCTTTCAGGGGCTCGGTCCCCCTCCGATGAATACAAAGGTCGCTTTCTTAAAAAGTGGGATCGGAGACAAGTTGGCATCACTCTGTAGCCAGTAGGGAGTTTTAGTATATCGTTTTTCTCCACCGCTACCGCTTCTGTAATCAATTGAAGCGGAACAAGGAGCGTTTCCAGTGAACTCTTTTTTCGACTGCGGCGGGATTTGAAACGGGCGCATCACGCTTGTGGCTTGTAACCGACGTTAGCTTCGTCCGATTTACCTTACCTCCCGCACCGGGGCAGAAAAGTGCAGGGTGGTGTATCTCAATGCACATACCGGAAGTACACTGCCCTACACTTTTCTGCACCGGTGCAGGGGGTGCAGGTAAATCGAACGAATCTACTATTACAAGTCGACCTTGAGCTCGTTAAGCCTTACTGAGCTCGATTCCAGAAATTCGGGGCCGCCATAATGAGATACAGACTAAGGAGCAACCTTGCTCCCCTGCTTTCAGGGTCAAAACTTCACCCTTTTCTGAAGGAACATAGGCTACATGGTCGCTCCACCCTTTATGAAGGAATATATAGACCTTTCTTTTTATTTTTTTCTAAAAGCGTATTTATTTCGCCGGCGATCGTTGGCGGCGAGTCAAACTTATGCCCCGTTTACACTTGCAAACCGGCGGTCAATCCGCGAGAATTCTGACGCCCGGCGACGGAAGCAGGCAGAATTTCCGGCGGAGAGCAAGATCGCTCTGGGACTAATTTCGAACGCCGGAAAAAAAGTTTTCTCTCGCCGCAAGCCAATCAGAACGAACGGGGGAAGTGGCGCTGGCTGACGTCAGATCCCCGCTGACGAGCTGTCGACGATGGCGACGAGACGCGCGCGGGCAAGGAGGAGGTATGGGTGTACCACGGCCGGTCTTGAGCGGAGAGCGCGCCTCTCCTCTCTAGACCGGCCGTGGGTGTACTAGAACATAGAGGAGGAGGAGGTTTGGGAGCTCTCGTTAGTTCTCGTCTGTACGGGAAACTGCGAGACGCTCGCGCCGCGCTCCGCAGGTGGCAACAAATGTGAACGGCCCGATCTTTTTTTTCGGCGAGCGAATCCAGTCGGCGGCGAGTGCATATTTCGCAAGTGTGAACGAGCCATAATCCTTAAATCCTATCGCAGCCAACGACCCGATAAAGCCAATCAACCAGGGCAAAAAGTTCATAGTCATGGCGCTTGTTTCCTCTGTACGTCTGCTATCGCCGGCTAAAACAATCAGGCAAGAAAAAAAAAAAAAAAGCACTGGATCGCGGCGCTTTTTTTTGAGTGATTGGTTGTGTCGGCAGAACTACGAAGACGATTAGCGCATTAGCGCCGTGACGATGCGCTCTTGGCATTATCTGATTGGCTAACCGAATCGTAATGTCGGCTGCGGTCGCACTTTGGTGAAACGGAGTATAGACCGCAGGCGACCGCCGGCGCGCGCAGCTGGTTCCCGATGAGCCGTAGCCCGCCTAGTGGACTCACGACGAATCGTAGCGTACCAGCTAGGGGATAGCACAGCGGGCGTATTACGTCAGAACTTCCGCCAAAAAGTAAATTGACAGAGTATCGAACCATTGGACATTGGCCACTGTCTGCCTGCGTAGGTTCAAGAGAGAATACAACTATATGATGACTGATTAACTAATATTCGCTAATAAACTTTTTATTATATACAGTATTTATTCTAAATGTTCCAATTGCAATATTGAAGACCGGAATGGGTGGCTCGAGCAATTTCCGTTTTTAATAAACCGGCTTGGAAATATTCATCGACAAGTTCTCTTTTAGGATTTCTAAAATAAATGATTTCATCGCTGTTTTGCAGGCTAGTTTTCCAATCGTTGGAAATTGAGGTTGCATATTGCACCGCGAGTTAACTTCTTTGCAATACACTGTTTTCAAATATCTCCCTCGATATGGCTATGCCACATGACGCTCATTGGTCGTAATGAGCAATGTGAACTCCCTGCAAGTTGATACCAATCACGGTGCACATTGGTGCTCATTAAGTGTTACCCACCAAAGTTGGCTTCTTCTCTGAAATTTCCTGTATCTTCCCCCATATTGTGGCTTCTCTGCAGCAATTCCAATAACGCCATTGAGTGAAATAACAGTTTTGCTCATTGGTGCTACTGACACATTCACGCTCATTGGGTTCGGCTCGGGATTTCTATTGGAAAACGCCTCCCATTTCCAGCAGTGTAATGGGTGCGAAGACCCTCCCCCTCCCCTCCACCCCCCCCCCCCCCCCCCCCCATTAACTTTAGTTGCCACGAGGGGCTTCTAAAACCGAGAGTACTAAGGATTCAAGGGGCACTTACAAAGAAGCAGAAGCCACGGAAAACGTTCCATTAAATCATGCTCGTGAGTCGTGACACACTCTTCTCCTGAAGAAATGTAAACTTGTCTCGATCATTCTGATGAAACCGGAGGTCATAGGAGTGTGCATTATGTGTGCAGGGCATCAGACCCCCCCCCCCCCCCCCGCCCCCCCCCCCCCCTCCACACACACACACACGAATACACACAAAGCTCCGCGCAACCAAGCATAACAAACCATAACGCACGCGTAATACAAGCACGACGCATTCCGTGTTTCAGGGTTTTATCAAAACGATCGAGACAAGTTTAATTTTCTTTTTTTAGTGTAACAGTTTGGAGGAAGCGCCACCGTATCCTCGTGGAGGGCACTTCGGTTACAGGGAGACGTGCTGTGATTTTGAATTACGACCGGCGTACAGAATCGTTTTCTGCCGGGCAGAAAACCGGTTCCCAGGTTTCCTTTTCTATTCCCTCCCTCTCCCTCTTTTCTCCTCTTCTCATAGGAGCGTGTCTATCCTCTCAGATGCCCCGGCGGAAAGGAGCAATGTTTCCCTCTTTCTGGTCGGTCTTTTAACGACTTTTCACGGTGGTACAATTTGTGTCCAATCGCACTGCGATTCCCGTAGTTTTGCAATTAAGATCGCAGTCGCACTGTCAGAGTCGCTCGTGCGGCAAAACGAAGTAATTTATGCTGTGGCAAATGTCGCTGGTAAAATTAGCACACTAGCGATTTCTAGATGCCCGATTGATTTTCAATTGGAGGAACACGGTCTGTATTCCTTCAGTTGAAATTCCTATAATTGGTGTATCCTTCACTATCAGGGCACTTAGTGCACGTGTATCGTTCACGAAGGCAATGATTGGTGCACTTCTGCGTTCCCGGTGGCATTCGCTTTGGAAGATTCATTACGTTCTGAGTAGCACAGATTGCGAGGAAGCTACATCGAATCTTCAGGTACAGCCACCCGAACAACCTGGTCTTCCACGGAGACGACGTCCACTCGGCGGTTCTGGAGGAGATGCGCTTCTTCAAGAGCCAGGGCGGGGGCACCGTCGTCGAGAACACCTGCCGCGGCATGGGGCGGGACATTCCCTTCATGCGCAGGGTGGCCAGCCTGACGGGACTTCACGTGGTTGCCGGCACAGGCACGTGACTTTCAAGACGCGTCACCTGGGTTTGTTCAGACCAAGGGAAGTTAGTCAGCCCCAATGGGTGTATCTGTGTCTATGCTAGGCACTGCAGTGCTAGTCTATAGGCTCTTCAACGTGCATCACGCAGGATGGTTACACAACCGCGTGGCGGTACGTTGCTCATCCAGATCGAAACGGGCAGGGCCGGAGATTTGAGCCCATGGAGTCTTCCGGAGTTCTGCAACGCGAAATTCCGCTCGCTCCGAGCTGCAGTGTGCGAACTTCCGGCGAAATGTTGTCACTCACCGATTTGTCTCAAAATTGATACAGCACATCATTAGACACATTTCAACAACCCTATTTTTCGGACCCGCGGACTATAGATGATTTTACGCGGTGCGGACCATATCTACAGGAATAATAATTGGGATTTGTGAATATTTATACAGCGTGTAGTTGGTCAGCCATTTCAAAGTTGCGACGAGTCACTCAGTGTAGATGAGCAATTTAGCCAGTGCAGTACAACCGCTAGCCTGGTGTCTTTAACGTGCACCACACAGTAGTGATACACGACCGCACGCCGGCAGCGCGAGCTTTCGCTCCACTCGGCCACCGATCCCCCTATATCTACGCTTTATTGTTGTTGTTTTCCTGTATCGTTCTTCATGACGATGCGCGACTGATCTTGCGTATAGCAGAGTAGGTTACTGATAATTTACAACTATATACCGGGTGTTTTTTTTTTTTGTTTTTGTTTTTTTTAAACTCAACCGATTTGTTTAGAACTAGCCGTGCCCCGACGCACGGCTTTTTGGCAGGTGGCTTATACGGTCCTGGGGAACATAGAGTATAAGGGGCTAATCGTAACGATCAGTCGGCTAATTAATTAAAGTTCGTTAATTAACTTTTCAAATAATGAAAATAGGCGTATGATTCCAATTAGAAACTTGCTGAGCGTCGTCGAAAACCACTAAATGAGTCATTTTCAGAAAGACTTCGAGCGCGTGAGGAGTGCATGCACTAAAGTTACCACTCGTTGAGCAGCTCTAGCGGTTGCGGTAAGGCGCCCGCGCGATTTTTCCGTTTTTTATCTAGCCCCAGCGTCGCGTGATGTGAATTTTCCCGCTGAAGTTCTCATAGACCGCGTTTCCTCCTCCGCTAAGCCCTCTGCAACGAAAAAGCCGCTACTGCGACTTCGCGCTGATGGCCTTGACTGTAAAGTTTCGGATATCGCGGAGGGTTGCGGAGAGCATGCCGGTGCGGCGAAAACGATAGACGAAAACGCTACGCTGAATTTAGCGAGGAAACCGAATCGGTGTATAGGTCACACTACGTCAGGTCGAGTGTCGTCGATTTCCTTGGTAACTTTGGCGGATAAATGCAGCCACGGACGTTCAAAATTCTGGGCTCAAGGAATTCCATTAAAAGCATTTTATTTGTTCTTTTAATGTCTGGCTGCGTAGTATAATTATGCGTTCTTTTTTTTTTATTTTCGGCATATCGACGGTTAAAATAATTTAATATATATATATGAGGTGGGCGATCTAGTGGGGATGGATGTTTGCAGAAAATTTTACGGTAAAGACGCGTGGATCCCTGCGCAGCACATATGCGCCTAATCAAATTGTTATCACGGGTCGCAGGTTACTACGTCACGGCCAACTACACGGCGGACACCCTGGGCAAATCGATCGAAACGATGAGCCAAGAGTTCACGGAAGATATCACCGAGGGAGCCGATGGAACCGACTCCCGCTGCGGCGTCTTGGGGGAGCTTGGCTGCAGTTGGCCTCTACGGGGTGAGCTGTCGCTTCACCGACACGCGACTGACTTCACGCCTCGGTGGTGGCGCTGCTGTCGGCTCATGCGCGGACGCTTCACTTGAGGAGAATCCGCCTTCTGCGCACGCGCGCGCAGTGCCCATACAATGGTATGGGTAATCACCGCCTTTCTGTAAACTAAACAGGGTGTCGGCACCAATGCGCGACTCTGGCCAGTCATGCTGATGTGGTGGTGCTGATATCGGTTCCGGAGAACTATGAACTATGGTTGGTCTTTTTTCGTAGCCTTATGCCACGGCCATCAGAGGTTGCGCTTTTTTTTTTTTTTTTTTGTGCGGTTTGTAAGAGATCCTGTATCCATTTTCACGTGTCTCTGTCTTAATCGGTGGCATCATCAAATATTCAGAGACTGACAATTCATTTTGCCTTTTCAAAAGGTGCTATAATTTTTTATCGCACTGTACTGCGCCGAACCGTCCGATTTCGCTTGGGGACTTAATGTTTGCAAATCGCCTCAAGTTTCGGAATAAGTGATTTGAGGGTATGCAGAAAGAATAAATTAACCAACAATATGAAACTCTCTTTCAAAACCCTGGCTGCCACCAAATCCGCATTTACTCGTGAATAACACTAGAAACTGCAAAAGCTACGCTTCGGCGAGCCAATCATGGCGTCGGAGTATACTTGACGGAGGACCATTGGAGTACACTCTTCTCGCGGAGAGCTGTTACGTGATTCCCTCCCTTGTTCCAATTGGCTCATGCGGACCTTATATAGCTTTCTCCCTTTTGACAAATTCTGCTGGTACACGCTGACAGGAAGTGTGAGGTAACAACGCTCGGTAGAACTGTGTCGCGTCATCTAAATACTTTTTTTTTATTATTTGATTTTATTGTGGTTTGCAGATTTCGAGAAGAACGTGCTACGAGCAGCCGCCGGTGTCCAGGAGGCGACGGGATGTCCAGCCATCATCCACCCCGGACGCGACCCCAAGGCCCCGTTCGAGATCGTCCGCATATTTGCCGAGGCTGGTGGAAACCTGAAACAGACCGTCATGTCGCATCTGGACCGTGAGCCCGCTTTTTTCCTTTTTTTAAGCGTTCAACGCTTCGCTTGATAGGCAGAGTATCGCCCTCGTCTCTTTTTGATCTGTTTTGCGGGAAGCGACCGTCGTCGCTCTTGCAGGAGACACGGTGACGTGCGGCGTACGACCTTGGCCAATACCGCTTAGAAGACAAGGCCGGCGCATGACGTCGTCGTTGGTGGGTCCGCGACTCGCCCCAAGCGGGGGAACACGCCGAAGCTCGACGAGGGTAGCAGCAAAGCGGCAGAAACGTCCGTCTTGGCGTCGCCTCGTGGTAGTGCCGTGTATGACGGACGCTGCAAGAGGCGGCACTGCGTGGATTCACTAGTGATGACGTTCGGAGCAGTGAAGGGCGGAGGCCTTGTCTTTTAGGTGGTATTGCCTCGGTCATTGTTGGCGGGGTGGTGCGCCGGTGGTTAAGGGCGCGGTCCAAACCATCTCGCAAAATGGCGTCCGGGTACGTCTGGGACTTGGATCCCATTTTACAGCTAAGCTGTATATGACTCGTAGGTTGGGGTTTTTTCGTGTCCGTCAACAGAAAACTCACGCGCGCGCCTTATCACCGTTCGCGCACGCTTTATTATTTATCATGTGGTTTTGACACTTGCTTCGATAAGAAAACCACAAAACAAGTGTCGAAACCACGTGATAGATTATAAGGCGCGCGAAACAATGATAAGCACGTAGCGCTCCCCACATGAGTTTCACGGTAAAGATTGGGGTTGCATAAGCTGCCACGGCAACGGCAGCGTACTCTTTCATATAGTATAAAAGAGTTTTGGTACAGTGCATTTACTTTTCTATCGTCATGTCATTTGGTATAGATTCGTTTGCTGTTTACAAACACGAACTGCCGCTTGCATTCCAATCGACTTCCGGTCGCACCGTCTTTGCAAGCCTGTTGAGCTTGCTTATGTTACCAGTGCTAGAAAACATAAATGCTACACGGATAGCAAAGTCGGAGATTCAACGAGGGCCTTCGGCTGTACAATATTACATCTTGGAGGAGGCAATTTGGTTTACAAGAATACTCGAACATTTTTAACAGATCTCGCACTCCTTCGTTCTTGTGACGTTCACCTGGAGAATTAATTGGTGGTTAAACGTTTCATCTTCGTTCATTTATTTTATAAACCGGAAGTTCTCTGGGACGTCAAAGACTGGAGCACCACCTGATGGCGTTTGCCATAGATGAAATTATAAACAAATCGGAGCGCCCCTAGCGGACGCCACCGGCGCCGCGCATGCGCGATGGGGGTGTGGGCAAGAAGCTCGCCGTCGCCCATAAACAAACCATTGGAATGCGATGTAGTCGGTGTCGGTTCCCGTACTCTTTTTCGCGTTGGAATGGTCGATTCTACGTCTTCCTGTGAATGTCTGACTACTGTGGCGGCCTCAGCGAAATTAACGAGGCTCGTTACACCGCAGAACGTAACGTGAATTATGTGACATGCGGCGATTCATTCCACGTGGACGCCGCAGAATGGACGCTAAAGCCTGATTCGCATGATGAGATTTCGCTCTCAATTTTCAGTCGCGACGTCGCTCGGGCTGAAAAGCGTTAACCGTCGACGTCGATACTGTAAATCGCAAGCAGAGTCGGACCAAGTGAGTCAGGCATAACAAGTCGGTGATGGCCACTGGTGACAATGATCAACATCTCCTTGTATCTACTGGTTACATCGAGCCGACCAACCTTCAAACTTAAGTCTTTTGAGGCCTTCACTTACTTTTTATCGCAAGTATCGGGCCAACATTTGGTCTACGGGCTGGTGTCGTCTAAAAGAGCAGACGACACTGAACAGAAAAGTTTGAAAGAGCAGCCGACAGTTCGAACGATCAGGCGGCCGTTCCAACTTGAAGACGCACTGAACGTTGTCCGCATGTGGTCCGTACAACTTGGTGGTTTTCCGGCGTTCATGTTGGAACAAAGCAAATATGGATCTGATGACCACAAGTATCTATGAAATTAACCCAAAGCGCTTACCAACCAAGCAATCGCGGTCCGACGGCGTCTGGTTTTCCCTTTTCACGGCACATATCCAAATTCTCGGACGAATTGAGCACATGAAAACGGACCTTCAAACTTTTCTCTACTCTTTTTGTACAACCCCAGTCCAAGGGCGGATCCAGGACACCGTTTTTGGGGTATAAGGGGAGAGGGGATTTGTAAGGATACCATTCTCCCATTCCTTCTGTGCACAGGGGGGTCTATCTACGTCAAACTGCCTTCCGAGAAGGGGGGAGGGAGGGAGGTCAACTTTGGTTTGGAGGGGGGGGGGGGGGGGTCGCTCCCGTCTCGCCCCCCCCCCCCCCTCCCCCCTCCTCCTTGGATCCACCCCCGCCCCAGTCGTGGCGTTTCGACGAGAAGGCACGTTTTTGTCTGGTTCCTTTCAAAACAACGCAGGAATACACGTCTCACATGGGGTCTGCCGCCCGCAGCCCCAGACCGGGAGTGCGCCCGACGCGCCACCACCGCGCCGTGACGTAGCAGAGTTGAGTTCGTGTGGCAATTGTTGCAGGGCAATTGTTGCAGGTGATACCACAGCTTCCCAACCACCTTCACGGTGCGGATTGGAGCTTTAATTTTGTTTCAAATCAGATGGTAGTTTATTTCTGTACATTTTATGTGCGGCTAATATACTGGGTGAAACAAGGAGACGGTAGGCTCTTTAAAGCGACCGGAAAATTCGGTTTTTTAACCTATCGCGCTACGACTTTGTGCAGCGTTGCCCACAGATGGTGCATTTTTTTTTTTTGTAAAATTTGCAAAGAGCGAACTTACCTGAGGAAAAAGTAAAAAAAAGAAAAAGGCTTAGCTCCTATGGAAACTCAGCGACGCCACCGGTCTTCAAACAACACGGCGCCGTTTCGCACGGGACACAAGAGATGGCGCAACGAACGCCGCCAACGAACGAGCATACGGCGCCGAAAGCCAGAATCTTCAGCAGACAATATTTTCGACTCAAAAGCGACGCACGTTCCGCAGGCGGCGACAGTCGCAGAAACAAAAACAGGCGCGGTAACAACGAGGAACTGCAGTTCCTTGTCTGCTAAATACGCCGGCTCTCGGCGCCGTATGCTCGTTCGTTGGCGGCGTTCGTTGCGCCATCCCTTGTGTCCCGTGCGAAACGGCGCCGTGTTGTTTGAAGACCGGTGGCGTCGCTGAGTTTCCATAGGAGCTAAGCCTTTTTCTTTCTTTACTTTTTCCTCAGGTAAGTTCGCTCTTTGCAAATTTTACAAAAAAAAAAAAAAAAAAAAATGCACCATCTGTGGGCAACGCTGCACAAAGTCGTAGCGCGATAGGTTAAGAAACCGAATTTTCCGGTCGATTTAAAGAGCCTACCGTCTCCTTGTTTCACCCTGTAGCTTGATCTCTGCTTTTAACAAAATCATGGTATTTTTAAGTGCTTTTTTTTTAATCCGTGCATATAACTCATTGGTCATGGTTTGCGCAATCTACCTTTTCTTTTGTTCATCAGTTTAAGTGGGAAAACCGTGTCATTACATATTTGAAATGTTTTAGAAAAGCTAGCGTATGGGATATTTGGGTCGAGTTCAACATTTTCACTGTGCAAATCGAAGGCAGTGATTAGGTCACGAAACTCTCCCAAAGAATCTTAGTCTATTTTTCTTTAACTCTAACTGCTACGTTGAGTTTGCTTTTTTTAAGGAATGGTGTAAAACAGATAATAGGTAAATGGTCACTTATGTCGTGTGTAAAAATGCCAGAAGAAACCCCGCGAATCTTTAAATTAGTTATACATAGGAATGACGTGTGCATCTACTTGCTGGGAATCGTGCAACAGTTTTTTTTTTTTTTTCCCGATCTACGTATTTGCAGTGTCTTGGAAGCTACAAAAGATGGGGTTTTTCTTCTTTTTTTTAATTTTTAATATTGCATGGTAACCTTAGATGGCCCACGACTTATATTTGTATATATTTGGTGTGCATCAGTTTGAACGGCACGTGGGAAGGAGTGGGAGCGCCTGAAACCGGCCAATTCTCAATCGGCGGTTTTCAGGCGGAAAGAAAACGAATTGTGAGCCGCAAATTCTGTTCTGGGTAGTTGGGCTCTTATATGTCATGTACAACTAAAAACCTCGGCGAGGATAAATACCCTGTCAGTGTCCCTTTGAAGAGCGGTCCGAACCAAACAGAAACGCGGGCGCCGGAACACGGATTTTGTTTTCGGGTGGGGAGCAACTGGGTAGGGAGCAATGACGGGTAGGGAGTAACTGGGTAGGGAGTAACTGGGTAGGGAGTAACTGGGTAGGGAGCAACTGGGTAGGGAACAACTGAGTAGGGAGCAATGACGGGCAGGGAGTAACTGGGTAGGGAGCAACTGGGTAGGGAGCAACTGGGTAGGGAGCAATGACGGGTAGGGAGCAACTGGGTAGGGAGCAACTGGGTACGGAGCAATGACGGGTAGGGAGTAACTGGGTAGGGAGCAACTGGGTAGGGAGCAATGACGGGTACGGAGTAACTGGGTAGGGAGTAATATATTCAGGGTTCCGCAACTCTCAATCAGAGATGGAAGTGTTTAAACTTTCCCACTCTCCTGCCTGTTCTGGCGCGCTAACTGGCTGACTAGACCGTAGCCTTCAACGTTTGCCAAGCTGCGGACTGATGAAACCATAGAGTTAGTACAATGAACGCTAGAGGCTCAGCTGGCGCTAGTGTCTACGGGACTTCCGGTTGCAAATTGAAGCAGACAGCATGTAGTCTACTTTTCCAATCTTCCTGTGTATTCCTATGGGAAAACGCGCGTGAATTTTGTCTCGTCGCCGGAAAATAACATGAATAACTTTTGTTATTTCGGTTGTACCGGATAGTATGTACCTTCATTAATATTGTGAAAGGGTAATTGCTTTAGTTACAGCGTTTTTCCTTTACGAACGAACGATGCTAAACTTCGCTATATTTCAGTCCCAAACCTCTGTTCCATGGCAGGTATGTAGAAACAAGCGACAATTCGAAGCAAAA